GGCTTGGGTTCAGGGTTTAAGGGTTTAGGGCATTGGGTTTACAGGTTTAGGGTTGACGTTTTAATTGGTAGTTTAGTTTTTAGTGGCGCCACCAAGAAGAAGCTCTTAGCCCAAAGCCCCACAACCCGCAACACGAAGCCCCAAAGCAACACACCAGGCCCAAGCCCCGATGCAAGAAAGCCTATATTCAAACCCCTGTGTAGTTATATTCAGGGAGCCCTGACCAACTCCCAAGCATCCCCATACCCGAAACCCTAAACCCTAAACTTTTATGCAGAAGCCTTACTGCGAGGCAACGGAGAAGGCGACGCTGACCTTAGACGACTCTTCTGCGGAGCGGGTCTTAACATGGACCCAGCTTGTCTTTGAGCTGCTGGGCTCTGGTTTGGGTTTGGGCTCAAATTGGGTTTTTGGGTTCTTGAAGAATCTGGATTGAGGCCAGCAGCGGAAGGGCTTATTTATGAAGGTTCGATAAGGTGTTCGAAGGAGTTCTGGGTTCTTGTGTAGGAATTTAGCCTAGGATACTATCATTTATTTTTACTACCGGCGTGGTGTTCTGCATTTCTGATGGAGTTTCATAGCAATTGATAGGGCTTGCAAGCGTTAGGTAAGGGTGCTGCAAGGGTTGTAGGCGTTGTGGGGAACTTAATTTAGTTTACAATCGTAAGGAAAGCAAATTATCCACCATATATCCCCAAACCCAAACCTCATATCCCTGCTGTGAAATGTCACACAAGACAAATCCTTAGGTAAGTCGCGTTATCGAACGAAGCCCTTTTACCATCCTGCTTAAACTAAGATCCTCAACAAGAGCCCGGCCAACATAATACGAACCACCTTACAAAACCCCTAAACCCTAACCCCAAACCCCAAACCCTAAAGACCCCTAAAGACTCAACAAACCCTAAACCTGAACCTTGAACCCTAAACCCTGAACCCTAAAACCGAAACCCTAAGCCCTAAACCCCCAGGCTCGGGGGCTTGCTGCTGATGACCGGGGTGGCCACCTTGTACATGGCCGTGACCGTGCACAGCAATCCTCAGTTCACAGATCCCGCCAATGACATGTTCTTGAAGGAGCCCCCCCCCCCCATCCTTCAAACCGCGAACTCTAAGCCCGGTACCTTCAGCCGTATTCTTGACAGAATCAGGGGGGCTTTCCTTCATGCCTCTCGGAAAACAGAAAGCATGTACGTGTTTTTTGTATGTACGTATGTACGTAGGTATGTTTGTATGCATGCATGCATGCATGCACGCATGTGCATGTGTATGCGTATGCGTATGTGTGCGTGCATGTGTACGCGTATGTGTATGTGTATG